CAAATCATTAACAGTTAATATTTTATCGTAAAGAAARTACCTCTATATTCTCGTATGCTAACAAATCGCATAAGACAAACAATTGTAGAATCACGATATTGCTTGCTATCCTCCATGAATCGGGTCGCATAGTCTCCCCACAAAGTACATRTTAACCGGCCGGTATTACTGAAATTAAAATAAAAATAAAATTTAATGTATTGATCTAAATAGTCTACTAAAAATATATATGTAAACAAATTAAACTCACGATGGATCTATTAAGTCAATATCCAATTTAATCACAGATTTATTCTTATCCTTAAGCGCGAGTTCTTGGAGAGGATGTATCTCGAAAATTTGTCCGAGCACATCTGTAAATCAAAATCATGAATATAAAATAATAAAACACCAAATCATGAACTTAGACTCAAAGCAAACAGAGGCAATTACATGTCTGCTATTTGTTTTCTACCAAAAACTCACCAATCATTATACTCCTATCAAGAGAATCACTCAATACATCGGAGAAACTCGCGATGTAAAGCTCAGGGACAATAGGAGGGAAATCTAAGCACWTTGAAACCACAGTTGTCCGAACAAAGGTTATTTTATAAGCATGTGGGTTAGTTTTATAACTCCCCACGTATGGACTGATCTTGAAAGTATCTAGAACCACGGATTCACCTTCCACGAGATGTGTCTCGAACTTTTGTACCAAATCTTTCTCAACGTTTGCATGAATACGTACACCCTGTAAAAMTTAGAATATGAGTAAAAAAGTTGAGTACAACATAAATATAATTATAGAAATAAACATGCYAAYGTACYGTTTCATCAGCCAACACCATATCTATAAAACCACCAGATTTAAACTGTTTCTTCCACAAACTCAAGATATGCACTTTGATCTTACACCTTCTCATMGACGGAAGAACATCGTTGAGTGGAATAACAGCAGTAGATTTGTTTCTTAGGAAAGACATGTTGATCTAAAGTCTAAACTTTTCTGATGAWAGGTTTCGTGGGTAGTAGAATAGTTGTATTTATAGCTATATATGAAACCCTAGCTATAAGCAACCGACTTATAAATATAAGTATATTTTCCAAAAAGATAAGTAYAAACCGGAATATAGATACATCGAGAATCTAGATTAAATTGATACGAAGAACCARTGAAGCCACCACCTTGTTTATATATTCGTTTATTTTTTGAAGAGATAAGTATATTTTCTAAAAAGATAAATACAAACCGTACTATGCATACATATATAGAATCTAGATTAATAGAAAGTAATTGATACGAAGAACCAACGAAGCCACCGCCCCTAACTTCTATATGTTATAATAGAAGTAATTGACATGAATAATAAGTAAATTCAAATTAAACTCCTATTTTGTTAATACGTATAATTAAAGTAAATTTCCTATTGTGTTTAGATATATGATTGATACGAAGAACAAGTAAATTCAAGTGAAATTCCTATTTACTTTGCAAGTCAAAGTTTACTTTGCAAACTTCCATTAGTATCATTTAGTCACAACACTTTTTGCTTTAAAATTTATTATAAACAAACATAATCCAATTCCTTCGTATGTTAAATAAAATTATATGCAACTCAAAGACATGATAAAATTAATAATAAAATTTTAAAAGTTCDTACTGAGGAGCATAATTTTAATAAATATATAAAAATAACTAAYTATATAAGAAATCYAACAATCGAAACGTYTTGACCATTATATCATCGCAACTATAAAAATATTAAATCAAATCATAACAACCTAAACATATTTATCATATCAACATCATCAGAAAATCTTGTAACAATATAGTTTTCGCCACGTGCTTTGACATTATCATCTGATATCCAGAGCTTGAGGAGAAATTGTTTTCCTTCGAGATCCTTAATAGTATTAGGTAAATTTTATAAACGTAAAGAGCTTCCCTCGATCAATTGATGACGAAATTGTTTACCACAATTGAAATCAACTGAGGCACTAAGTCGAATACCCTACAAACATAAAAAAACATATTCGATGTATTAGAAGATGAAACATATGTTTCTAATATCAGAAAATAAATTAAGATTTTTATTTTATTTTTAAGAATAYCTCATCGTCGACTAAAATCATYTGAGTAGAATGACCAATACCATTGACAACTACATCCCATAATCGCATAATTGCAACATCTATATAAAAATCTAGGGTTCCGAACTTTTTCTCTTTAAGAGAAACAAAAGAAGGCATTATGATTAAGGAGGCCACGTGATCTCTATAGGAATAAACAATGATATAGATCTATATATATAGGATACAAACTAAAACCCTAGATCGAAATATGAAGGCCCATAGTTGATTACGAAATCTAAATAATTAGGTATCTATATGGCCCATAATCGTTATCAATTGATGGCATTCCAATGTAATTAAGTAGAGATTTTAGGGTATTTTTGGCAATCCAACTCTTAAACTCATTGTAGAGCCGCCACGTAGGAAAAGTGACTTCGCTTTTATAAGTATAGATTTTAACCAATTTATCTTTAAAAAATATCTTTAAACAAAATTTATTACTAAATTTATAAATTATATGTTTATTTTCGGGCTTTCCGGACCGATCCGAGTTCAACAGTGCTAAAGCCAAAAAACTCAATAATCCGAATGAGTTTAGTCCGAAAGGCCAATTTTTTTTAGGCTTATATATTCACGCATAAACCCGTTATTTTTAAGGGTTAGGCCGGGTTGGGCTTCGGACTTTGACCTAATTGAGATGCCTACTCAATACTGTAGTTTTAAATGAATCACTGTGGCGTTTTTTGACGGACACAACAGTCAGCGAAAATGGAGCAACCACCGTCGCCGGGAACAGAGTCGGTAAATCTCCGAGAATGCTTGGAAACACTTCTACGGTTTACTCTGAGATCTCATTTGGACGAACTAGTTCCAAGTTTCGATCTTGACCTGAACAGAGATTTCTGCATCCATCTACTTGAGGAAGATACAGATTCAACAGGTAAGTTATTAGATTCAACTCTGTCTTTGTACGTCTTTGGAGGTCACTTGCTGATTTTACTAAAAAAAATAGAGTTTTTTCCAATAGGCAAGCACAATCTGAAATCAGAATGCATATATAACTGAAAGGATTTTCTCAGAAATGTTCTATTCACAGAAAAACCTGCGGTGTACAAAGCTTCTAGCAAGAGCTTTGTCTGAATGTCTAACTTCCGAGGAGCAGGGATTTGGACATGACTTGGTACAGGTATGAAAACTTGTTCTAATCTGCTGATTGCATCAAAATAGAGTGGGAAAAAGTTGTAACTTTGAAAAGAATTGTTGTTCTGTCAGATGTTGAAGAAGGTAAACTTTGAGCTTCATGTCCAGGAGCCTTATTTCACACAATTGAAAGGTACATTTTCTGTTTACTTGATAGTAGTCTTGTAGAAGAATTGATTTGCTTTATCTCATTGTTATTTCTCGGTGCCTCGTGTTTCCGCAGATGGTCTGAAAACTGCTGAAGGAAGATGTGCAGTAGGAGACTACAAGAGGTATGGTGTCTTAATCTCTCTGTTGATGAACCTGCAAATGATGGTTTACATTTATGCAAAAGGGAAGCTAATTGGATGAGCTACTGTCATATGAATATCTAGAGTAGTCTTATTTCTTATGATCTTCTTGCATTTCCGGGTTTTCTAGTTTTGCTGATTCCGATATTTTCAGATAGTTATCGCCTTCATAATTGGTTAAGTTGAATACTTACTACTTAGCTTTGTGTGTCTCTGTCCTCAGGATTGGTTCAGGAGCTTTTATTTTGTTCAATAAATGCTTGCTGCTTGAAGTTCAGGTAGTCATGAATCATTGTATCTCTATTATTTCCTCCTTGTGAGCTCAAACACTTTTCATCTTCTTATTAACCATCTTGACGATGACAGGACGTTCACCATTATACTTCATTCTCGGAAATGCTAAAAGTGGAGGGTCTTGCCAAAGTTCTTCCTGGAGTTGAGTCTATAGAAGAAGGTTTGAAGATCTTCACCCAACTAGCATCTTTTGCTATGTGGACTTCGTTATATGACCTGAAATGCTGTTCTGTCTGCAGGTGTTCGAATATACCGAAACTTTTATCCTGAAGAGAAGGAAAGGATGAACGGTGTTGTAGCCATTCTAGTTGCAAAACCAGCTGATCAGCCTTATGCAGCTTTGGCAGGAGTATTGTCGGTGAGTTTATGGCAGCAAGTGAAACCCTGAAAGCCTTTTTTCTCTCAATACCACATCACAGAACCTCTTTTCGGTTCTTCTTTTGTAGGAACTCAAGTCCAGTGGGATCAAAAGTCTGTTGGATGACTACACGGCACAAGTTACCTTGTAGCTGCATCTGAAAACCTTTGAGAGCCGAGAATCTATTCAGTTCTTTGGACAATTAACTGTTTTCAAGATCAAGCTTTTTGTTATCTTTAACTTGGATGGATGGTGTCAAACATATGTCGATGTCATCTTTTATTACTTAATTAAACTATTTCACCACTCAACACCGAGCTGTGCTAGTTGAACTGACAAGATTCAGGAAGTGGAAATTCGTATCTTTCACCAACCATCACAGTAAACGACAAAAGAATTCTTATAACCAATCCCAAGAAATCCCCTGATCCTGCTGCTGACTCATAAGTCACAAGGCAACAACCCGTTTTCCGAGAGACTTTGCTAGTTATTTAACAATCAAACAGACATGAACACAAACACTAACCACATCTACTGACAAGACTTCAGAGCTTCTTATCAGATTCTAGATAACCAGTTTCAGTTTGTTTTAGCCTTTTTCTGGAACAGCAAATTCCACGAGTATGTGTTGCCTTTCTTTTCTGCAACCTCCACACGTTTCCCTCCAACCTGCAAGCCATTCATTTCGTCAAAAAATTGCTTCTAACAGAGTAATAATTGCCTCTGTTCTGCCAACCAAAATCTTGAAATTCTCTTAGTCAAATGTTTTTTGTCACATGATAATGACTAAAGCTTAAGTACCTTGTCCATGAGCCAGAAGCCAAGGAAAGGCATGTATTGCACTAGATACATCACGAGCAGTACTGGCTGATAAAGTGCGTGAAGAAGTTATATATCAGATGTCGAATCCAAGTGTAACAACACATGGGAATTTGACAAAGAAGTACCTGATATGAAATCCAAGCTTCCTTCAGGTTATGTGATGCAGCGATAATGGTCAGTTCTGCACATCGTTCAGATGACACACGCTTCTGCATGGCAAGAAAAGTCGTGTATTAGATGCTTAAGAGAAACTAAAAAGAGAAACAATAGAAGATCCAAGTGTTGACAAAGAAGAGGATTCAATGTGTGTCAACTAGACTATTTAAAGATTAAAGCACAGGCAGAATTAAAGAAAACAGCTGACAACTTAATCAACAAATCATTATCAGTTAACCAACCTCAGGAGACTTCTTGTCTTCCGAAGTTGATGTTCCTGTACCATTATAGGTTTCTATGGGACCGGGACAAACAACAGTAACCTTGATTCCCTGCTGACAGAACTGAAACCATGCACAGATGATTGTCAACTAACTATTTCAGCAACAAGTTAAAAAGTATGTAAAAGAAAACATAACACAAGAAAATGAGATGGCAGGAAATGAAGCTTATTAACATTCTTATGGGCGGCTGTGAGTTTTCTATGATATATTTCCATAAGTCACTTTTTCTTGCCAAATAATCTGCGAGCATGCAGCTTCTTTACTTCTAACATACCTCCGAACGCAAGCTGTGGAAGTAGCCGTGCAGAGCATGTTTTGAAGCAGAATATATAGCCTGTCCAGGTGATGGTACCTTTCCTGCGGCACTGCTCATCTGAGTATAGATTGACTTCAATTATTAATCATGAAATTTACCCAAGGAAATGGACAGTTAACACATGAAAACTAATCATAGCCTGACTTCCATAAAAATACAATCACAGGATGTGTATACAGTAAAATGATTTGGAAAGTAAGTAGGCCATAATAACCGAAAAGAAACCTTAAACAGTCGAGATAACCTAAAAACCTTAGATATAACATATCTTTGGTCAAGATTCAAAAGTCTAACTCCAAATCTCCAATCTTGCTAAAACAAACATACAAAAACACACCTTTTTTTTATATGAATAAACCTTGATGTGAATAAATTCCCACAATATTATAGTACTAAACATCGGCATTAACAAACCATTGGCCATTAGTCTCCACATACCACAACAAAATGACCGCCTCCTTGTTTTAGCATATGAGGAACTAGCAACTTTGTTAGAGATATTGTCCCAAATACATTAACTTCAAATGTAGTCTGCAATCAAAATCATTGATAAACCATATGTTAATAAAAATAACATAACAACCATACATGCCCTACTCGCTACACAAAGGAATTATCATGCTACAGATTTTACCCAATTAATCTAATACCTTGAGATTTTCCTCGCTCGCTTCTGATGCTTTGGATTTCTGCAAGAAAAAGAGTATGATGGTGACACGCCTTTGAACAACTAAAACCACAGCTTTAATCAAAGAGTATTAAGTAGATACAAAACTTTATCAAGGAAATTACTTACTGGACGCTCATAAGCAGCATTGTGAACCAAATAATCAACACCAGCCCCAGGGAAAAACGACACTGCTTGCTCTACAACATGCTTGAGCGAGTCTTCGCCGCCAGCTAAATCTAAAGTCAAAACCTTGACATCTTCTGGTGCATATTTACCTATAAGAATGCTGAGTCGATTACATTGTGTGTCACATAAAGCTCACAATTAAAAAATTGAAGACTTTTCCTTGTTTCATTGTGTAAAGGAAGTACCTTTGAGCTCACTCCTAACCCGATCCAATTCAGCTTCATTCCTCGCAGAGAGAATAAGCTTGGCACCTAAACTTGCAAACTGTTTAGCAAGAACTTCCCCTGAATCCAATCGTAAGAAAATAAATAAACATGAAATGTAACAACATTAAGCAGCCACAATCTAAAGGAAAAAATTCGAAAACTTTCTTCACAGTAAAATCTGCCTTACCAATTCCACGGCTTGCCCCTGTGATCCAAACGACCTGAGCCAAAACAAATCAACCAGAAATCTGAATAAATGCTCAGAAATTGAGAAAATCGAAAATTTAATCATTCCCCAATAAATTTCCGATTCTATCTATCAATCCAATACCTTGCCTTCAATGGCTTCACGCTTCACATGCTTCTTCGAAATCAGAGTAAAATCCCCTGGAGAAAGCAAAGAACAATCATTTTCACAGAATCACAACCAGAAACGAACATTTGCATTAGAACTCTTTGAAGTTATTACCATCGGCTACTACGAATTTGAAGAGCACACCGAGAATAAGGAGGAGCCCGAGAGAGAAGAAGAGTAGAGTCAGCATTTTCTCAAGTTTTGAGCGAAAGGCAAAGAAACGAAAAAGGCAAATCATTTTATGACCCTACATTTGTAGGGGAAAAATTGTTAACAAAAATAAATGTTAGGGTAAAATAATAAATTATTGATATTTATGGGTCTATATGCAATTAATTCCTAAACAAAATCCTTGTTTCTTCACCATTGTGGATTTCGATCCAAAACCCCAAATCTCTCTGTGTGCAGAGAGCATAAGAGCGAAGAGACAGAAGATGGATGCTATAAGGAAGCAGCTTGATGTGCTCATGGGAGCGAACCGAAACGGCGATGTTCAAGAGGTGAATCGCAAATACTATGACCGCGATGTGTGTCGTCTTTACTTGTCTGGTCTTTGCCCTCACGATCTCTTCCAATTGACGGTGCGTGTGTGTGTACATCTTCGGTTTCCATATATACATCTTCGATGTCCATATCTTCTTCTTCTTTTGCAGCTTTTGTGTTCTTTATGCCTTTCTCTGAGAAACCCTAATTTCAGTTTTGAGGTTATATTTAAGGGTAGACGAGAGAAGAGGCTTTCTCTGAGAAGAGACCTTCTATGTTGAATACTGTTCAGAGTGTAAAGGAGTTGAAAATCTGGAACTTGTATTGCTTCACCGTTATTCTAGTTCAGAGCTACTAATTCTATTACTGATGCTCGTTTAACAATTTTGTTATTCTCAGAAAATGGACATGGGACCTTGCCCAAAGGTTCACTCGTTGCAGCTTAGGAAAGAGTATCCTTTTTGAAACTACTTTTGAGTTTTTCTCTTCTTCTACTGTGAGACCACAGTGGCCACTTATTAACCGGTTCCATAGCCCTSTCATTTGGAGGTGGCATATGTACATGGTTATTTGCCACATAGTGTAAATCGGGTAGCTCTCTGTTGTTTCTCATGTTTTCACTCTTCTTCCTGGTGTTTTCATGAGGTAGTTTGACAAAAATGGCTAGTGCATACGATATTAGCCTTCGTCTTAGATTTCGTTTTAGAGGTAGAATAGTTGCCAAAACGGTTGGTGGTGTTGGTATATTTATTTTAGTTGTACAGTGGCATGTGTTTTCTTTCCATTCCTGTTTTGCTTTAACTCGCATTTAGATATCGAGAAGCAAAGGCAAAAGGTGTTGATAACTATGACAGGGAATTGGAAGATGCGATAGACAGGCTTATTGTTGAATGTGATAGGAAGATCGGTAGAGCCCTCAAGCGTCTTCAGGAAGAGGATGCCAAAGCTGCCATCGCAATTTCAGTTTCTGAAGTCACTCAGGTAATTTGATTTTGAAATTTGGTGGTGGTATCATCTAAACTTAGTTAACTCAGATTTGTTTATTATGATTTCATCATTTAACTGCAGACACCGGAAATTCTTGAGTTATCGGTGCAAATTAAAGAGAAGATGAAGGAAGCAGATCTTCACGGTAAATTAAAAAGAATTTTGGCTAGCAGATTTTCAGTACTGCTCTGCTTCTGCTTTTGAATTCCCTTTTGTTTTGTGAATGAGTATTAGACTGTTAATTAGGAGCGGTACTTTGGTTTGCTTGTTTACAAATGGATTATCTCTGAAATGTATTTCAAGGTTTTGGCTAATTAGTGTTGTGTGGTTATCAAAATTTCAGATGCTGGTAGTCTCTAAACTAAACGTTGTAATGTCACTTTGCAGATCTTGAAGGAAAAATGGATTTTAAGATTAGAGCTCTTGAGCTAGTCGAAGAAATGAGGACCAAGAGAGCCGACCTACAGGTGAATTTTCTTTGCTATGGTTTAATGTGCAAGGTACTTAGTACTTTAGTGATCTACCTATGGCAACTGACAATTCCTTTGTCTTGTTTCGCCTAAAGGCAGCACTGCTGTTGGAAGCCTTCAACAAAGATAGAGCATCATTGCCACAGCCTGTTCCAGCTCAGCCGCCGGCTTCAGCATTACCTCCACCGGATCCTCGCACTCAAGAAATGATAAATGAGAAATTGAAAAAGGCAGAAGATCTTGGTAAGGGAAATAACGCTACTTTTTTATGTGGTTAGTTTTTATGGTTGCTCTTTAAGTTGCCATTGGAAGGCAACAATGCAACTGCTAAATTCACGTTGGCTGATCTAAGATCTTTTTACTTATAATCTGCGATTTTCCTTATACCTAAGTTGAGGAAATATCTGCGCTTTTTTTGCGTGTTATAATACCTCTGCTAAGGACACTCCTGGACTATGCAAAGTTGGAAATAACTATAAGAGCCATTTGTTTTCTCAGGCGAACAAGGACTGGTGGATGAAGCACAGAAAGCACTGGAAGAGGCTGAAGCTCTTAAGAAGGTGTAATCTCTTTCTAAAGGTCATTTTCTTTTCTTCTCCTACTGTTATTAGTCCTTACTGACTGTTGTGTCTATATTTGTTCAGCTTACAGTCAGGCGAGAACCTGTAGCGGATTCAACAAAGTACACTGCTGTTGATGTGCGCATTGTAAGTGAACATCATCGTTTGTATTGCCTTATCAAATTTCTTTTGAATAATTTTCTTTGAGACAGAAATGTTGAATGCATCTAGACACTTGTTTCATCTTCTAACCTCGCTTATTGCTCCTCCTCTAATATCTCAGACAGACCAAAAGCTGCGTCTATGTGACATATGTGGAGCGTTTTTGAGCGTATATGACAGGTTAAACCTCCTCACCCAAACTTTCTTCTCTATTTTTCCCCTTTTGAATTGAAAAGACAAAAGCTAGAAATAGATTCTTGGGTTGCAAGTGGTTCAGTGTTTGACTCTGGCTGTTGTACCTCCTTTTTTCACCAGCAGGCTTTTTGGGCAGGATTACTTTTTCAGCTATAATAAATGTGCGTTCTTTTCTTGATTTTATTGTGCTTGAATGATCGTACTTGTTAAAAATTAACTAATGGAGCGTTTAACGTTAAGCTGTCTTCACATGATATCATCAAATGATTAAGCATTCGGTAAGATACTGAAGGGAACTTTTGTGCTGTTTCAGTGATCGTCGTTTAGCTGATCATTTTGGTGGGAAGCTTCATTTGGGTTACATGCTAGTCCGTGACAAATTAGCAGAGCTTCAGGTAATAATGAACATGA